TAACAAATTTAACGTTAACGTTAGACTTAACTTAAACTGTTGTTTCTCTGTGATACAAGTGGGATGGGAACACTTTTTTTCAACAGCAACAAAAAAAAAATCTTTCCCCCCCTTTTTTTTCCTTTCTTTTTTCCCCCTGGATCCGCCACTGATCACGGGGATAAAGTATACAGCTATGTAACAAGTAAATTTCTAAGAGGGAAAATGCCGACTTAAATAAATGATAATGATTAAATACCAAGGAATTCAGGAGTTTCATGGTTACCAATTCAATGTAAATTTGTATTAAAATAAGAGCCCCCGTCAGCACTAAAAGAGCCCCCGTGAGAAGGATCAGGGGGCTCTTTTTGGGGGGGAAGAGCCCCCGTGGACAAAAAATTAATTTGAGCCCTGATTATTAGAGAAAGAAGATGATTCGTTGTTCCATTCTCGACTCTAAATCCTTGTCTGAATTCAGTTTTCCTCCTCCCGCGCGTAGCGCGTAAGCTTCTGACGCTTCATTAAATTATTAGAGAAAGAAGATGATTCGTTGTCCCATTCTCGATTCTTAATCCTTGTTCGAATTCATTTTCCCCCTTCCGCGCGAGGCGCGGAAGCTTAGACCTTTCATAGTTTAATGAAATTATTAGAGAAAGAAAATAATTCGTTGTTCCATTCCCGACTCTTAATCTTTCTCTGAATTCAGTTTCCCCCTCCAGCGCAAAGCGCAGAAGCTTAATGTTTCATTAAATTATTAGAGAAAGAAGATGATTTGTTGTACCGTTTTAGACTTGTCAAAAATGTTTCTTTGTCTGCCCCTTTTTTCGTCCTATGTCCTCTTACTGCCCCTACCGCCCCTAGCTACGCATGCTTTAAAGGGAAAATGAAACAAACATGATTGTGATAGCATACAATAAGGTCAGTAGAAATGAAAGGGGAAAAAAAGATCTATTTATACACCAACCATGAAATAATCGCAACCGGGAGCGTCATATCTTAGTTTTGTGTTATCGGGCGAGGGCCGGGGCGTAGCGACCAAGCGAGATTTTGCAATGTAGAATGCTGAAATTATGCATTCTAGAAAATCCTTTAGTCCAATATGTACGTTCTTTCCGCTACATGTATATTTCTTTCTAGCTAAATATCTAAATTTCCGGGGGGACGTGTCCCTCTATCGGGCCCAGGATCGCCGCCGCTGTCCATTATCACTACCAACATGAGTTCAAATATAAGCACAAGCGAGTTGGTATGAGCTGAATCCAAATGAAGGGCAAAATAAGAGTTGTGAAGCGGCCCTACCGTTAATTTAAAATTTGACTGTTTAGTATATAGCTTCTATTTGAAAGACATCCAAAATATTGTGCCCTTTTTAATTTTTTTCAAAAAGCAGGGGCTGTTTGTAACGTTTAACTTTGAATCCGTGGCTCGAGATTTTATGCGGCCGGCCCGGCCCCCTCTATTCAATAACGTTTTCCAAGCCTTCTGGAATGACCCCAAATCTCCCGATTACAGTTTTTCCCTAATATTCGTCGTTACTGTCACTTAGCGCCATTTCCTTGTCTTTCCCCCTTTCTCACCCGACTTTTTTCTTCCCCTTCCCACCTTCCCCCTCCCCCCCCCCCACCCACTCAGTGTTATCTAGGGTACGCGCATGTATGTTCCCTCTCTTAGTTTAAAAGCACCCCTTTATCTTCGGTGTGTAAAGTCAGAGCGGGCCGGATTTGTGTGTATTACGGGCCGGACTTTGTTGCGTGAAAAGTAACCCTTTATCGGAAATTTTGGGAACACAAAATCGGTCCCTCCGACCCCGGAGTGGGAGTGAGGTGGGGGGGGGGGGGGTATCTTCTTCTTTTTTCTTTCTCTCTCTCTTCTTTCTTTTCTCTTCTCTTTTCTTTTCTCTTTTCTTTTCTTTTCTCTTCTCCTTTTTTTCTTCTCTTCTCCTTTCTTTTTTTTTTCTTTTTTTTGCGCCGCCAATAGGGGGGGGGGGGGGGGCCGCGGCCGTTTCGGCCCCCCCTGGATCCGCCACTGACCATTGATCTCCAAATGGGGGGCAGGCGGTGCATTACGCAAGAATGAGATCAGCATGGTTTTGCACTTCGTTGGATTGGGCCTCATGTCGTTTATTTCACACCAATCAACAAGAGAATCAATGTGTGTTTGTAACTGCGGAGGGTCCGACTTGTTGACAACCTCTAGAAGGCTTAGATCATCGACATATTTCCAGCAGTTTTTTGTAGACAACGCGGCATCATTAACCATTATCAGGAAAATAATGGGTCCTAATTTAGTTCCCTGCGGAACACCACAAGAGAGGTGGGAAAGATTATTTTGATGTAACCCCACGATAACGAACAGTTTGCGTTCTTTGCGTCAGGAAACTACAGATAGTCGGGAGAATGGAGCGGTCAACTCCTATGTCAATCATTTTTCTGATTGCTGTGACATGGTTGATATGATCGAAAGCTTTACTGAAATCGATCATGCATAAGTTAACATACTTCCCAGGTCGGTCAATTCCCCGATGAGCATTATCCAAGAGACTGATTAAGTAATGGCAAATTGATGTTCCGGGCATGTTCCCAAACTGTTGGGGATCAATAGCATGGTGCACATCTTCAATAATCCAACGGGCAAGGAATCCCTCAAACACTCGTGCTAATACTGACGTGATAGAAATGGGCCTCAGTTGGTCAGGTGTCGTTGCCAGCCGGACCTTAGGCACTGGACATACTGATGCATTTTTCCAGATTTTTTTTTCTTCAAACAGCAGTTGAAAATGTGGGTGAGCGGCTCAGACAGCTCGTACGCAAATTCCTTGATGAGGCGTGTTGGGCAGTCGTTCGGGTGACCAGCCTTGGAGACATTGACTTTTCGTAGGCATTCAAAGCCCTTTGTCGCTCGATGATTGGAGGTGGTGTCGGCGCAGGGATATAATCTTTTTTCGTTATATTTTCTAGTTGTTAAAAGTGACATTTGTGCACATCTGATATGTTAATCTCTATCAAAAGTTCTTTGATATTAAGTTGGTTCCATGTTTTTAGGCTCTACCTTCAGTCATTGAGAAGGATTTTAGTGAGCTAACCTCATCGCCCTCTAGTTGCTCTTGTGCGTCCGCTATTTTCGTCTGCTAGCTCAATTATTGGATCAAAATACGTCAAAATCTGCAAGATCGTCAATAAATGGTGAAAGACCGTTACAGATCCGTGATTATAGGTATGTTGTGGAGTGTGTAATTGTGTATTTGTTATACATTTTATTCCATAGATATTTGTTTTCTTTTTTTCCCCCTTTTTGTTTCTTCTGTTAATTTTCTGACTTGGACGACGAGCGCACAAATCGTAGGCGTAGAAGCCTTACACCCGGGCATTGACCTCCCTAGATTCATGGTGGTGATGGTGGTGGTGATGGTGGTGGTGATGGTGGTTATTTTACCTGACTGCTAAGAAAGAATAAATGTTTGAAAGTAAGCAACCAGACGGCCGACTGTCCTACCGACTGAGCTATCGTGCCTCCTCAAGTTTCTGATCAACGAGGGCGAGGGTTGTTATGCCCCCCCCCTATGCCTATGGCAATGATCTCATTTTTTACCCCCTTTATTACCTTATAACCTTATTACCGAATGTACTGGAAAATGCAGAGATCTGCAATCAAGTTTACAGGTCTATCTGTCTTCCAACTTCCAAGTTCCATCTTCCTTAATCTCCAATATTTTTTTATCTGATGAGGTGTGACAGTGTCAATGTGTAATGTGCACATTGCTTCTAAGTTCAATGTTGATTTCATTCTATTGTAAATCAGCCCCCCCCTCCCCCATGTGTATAACATGTTATTTCCATATATAATATGGAATTAACATGGCAATTACACCTCGAGCATTGAGCTTTTATTGCTATATATACTTCTGAGTGTTATTCCATAATGATAATCTGTTCTTGTATAGCGCATGACACATTATGATATAATGTCTCTAGATGCGCTTCCAAAGAGCTTTGAAAGTTATTACCCTATAAAAATAGCTTTTGCTCCGGCAGCCGTTGTCAGCGCACAGTGCATTTCAATCAAGGAATATTCCTAACATGCCTAGGGCTACGTGGAGTGTGGCATGTAGATTATATCTTGTCAAAGGACATTCGTGTTGCAGCAGGGATTTGAACCCTGTACGTTGTGGTTCATAGTCCGGAGACTTAACCACTGGACTGCAACATCTCTATTTATCCAAATGTATTTTGTTCATAGCTAGTCATTGAAATCTGTTGTTGCTTGTTCTTGTTTTTATAATATTCACACTATGTAATGTAAAGAAGCATGCAGAATTGTAAATAAATCATAATTAAGTGAAACTTTTCCATGAAGAAAACATGCTAGCCAAATTGACTATGACCATTGCTCAATGCTTCACTTCTACAGTTAGCATATTTAGAATAGCTAGAACAGACAATTTTCATAATGGATTCAAATTTAATGCGAATTGTATACATTCTGTGTTCTTAGGTTAGGTAGGACATGCCATAATTGTTATCCTACCTAGCAGCAACTTATGTATGCAATTGGTATTCTGACTATTGAAATGAAATTATTTGTAACTGGTGAATGAAATAATTTGTAACAAGGCACTTAACAAAGATTTATGTATCAAATTTGATTCCATTCCTGTGCCCCTTGTTGCCACCACTGAGCTTAGGGGTCTTGACTGCTCTCCCAGGATCTCTACATGAAAGAAACTTGGGTGCCCTGATTGTCGACTACAAAAAAAGTCACAAAATCATTGTTTTCTGCCAAAATACAGCATTTCTTGAATATGAACCCTGCGAAGCACAGCTTCTTGGCTGGTCCCAGCCATTCTGCCCAAGGGCTTGTTTCAGGAGGCGGGGCAAAAACTTTATGATGTATAAAGTCTCATAAACCTTTTAAGCTATTATTATATTCATGCACATGTAGATATCCTGAATTGAAACCCTCAAGGATCTTTATTCAATCTGTTTTATGTACGTAATGTAGATATTTCTGAATATTGTTTTCAGGTATTGTTGCCCAGCATTGTCATCACCATTTCCCAGAGAACTACATTTCTGTCGAGTGAAAAGGACACCTTACACCATGGATGGATTCTGCCTTCTCTACCTGTTCCTGATCCTATTGATGAGATCTGGTGACGTTGAAACCAATCCAGGTCCCAACACTGCAGAAAGGTATGCATATATAGGCTTACTTCGAGTCATCGGGTCATCGCCTCCGGTCTGGTGGTTGCGTTACACAAACTTTTGTGAAGATGCATGTTCAGGATGCGATCTTTTAATAGTAGATGATGTGCTGAAGGGTATTCACAAAGTGTCGGGTAAATTTTACCAGACCATATGTACATGATAGGGGTTTATTTCACAAACATTACCCCTGACATTTCGTAAATGAAGGGCATGTTTTTACAAAGGGCCAGGCAACGCGCAACCATCCGACCCGACATGATGACCCGATGATTCAAAGTAAGCCTACTAATAACCTTTGGGAGTTTACCATAAAGTTTAGTTTTGGTCACACGATTGCATTGCAAAAGAAACAGTGTGGAAGTGATTCAAAAGGTTGATACCGCCCTCACCTGCAATTTGAGGCAATATGTTTCAAATATCACAGGTAATATATGCTGATATCCCCAGGTTGTTCTATTACCCACTCGAGCACGTACATGTACATAATACTCAATGTTGAGTATCGCATGATAGCTTCTCATCCAATAGGATGCTCTCTAACTAATATCCTATCATAACCAATTAATTTATTATTCATTTTACAGTACTGTCACTGAAATGGAGTTCTTGAAGCTGGCCCAGGATATCCATCCATCTTACTACAATGCTGTAGGGATATCTCTAGGGATACCCCATGCTCAACTACAGGTAATCCTGGTTGAGAATTTGAAGAACTACACCAATGCGTTACTGGATGTGTTTATGAAATGGAATGTCATGCAGCAACCTCCACACTCAAACAAACGACAGGTTTTGGCAGACAAACTTCGAGAGATTGACTTGGGTGGCCTTTCAGACAGATTACTCAATGGACCTCCAATTCCGAACATCACAGGTAAATAGATACTAATTCTTGCTACACCAGAAGACATAAGAAACCATTCATATCAGCGAATTCAGTTGTTACCAGCGAGTGTTCTGTGTTCTATACATTTGCCACAGTTTACAGAAGTTTCCAATTTTATCAAGCCCTATTCATGTTTTTATGATTTATTTATTATAGCCATGAATTTCAAATTTGGTGTGACAAACTAATTATATTTTGGGTTAAAAAGGTCAAGGTCAGCAAAATTAAACAATTATCACCACATTAATAACTACTTTAAGCTATTTTAGCTGAAATTATTTTTTAAAAGCCACATATGGTATGCATTATAGAGAGACAAGTGATCAGTTGTTGGATTGTCAGGTCAAAGGTTGTACCGTAAAGATCAATCAACATGTATTTATATATTTAAAGATTGATTTAAGCCCCAATCTTTACTGAATTTAGGCAGAGGCATACTGGAAATGCAGTCTTATTTGTCTTTTTTCCTTCAAAATAAGATGTGTGCTTGTCAGGGAAACTCTGCATTGCTGAAATGTCCTAGGAAACTTATTTCAATGATATTCATCTACAAGTATATGTCTGCACTAATTACTCAGATTTAAATGCCCTTAATTTGATTGAAGTCACATTAATTCAGACAAACATCTATGACTTTGTATCTTTGAGTACATGCATCTAGCCCTAGGTCATGCGATTAGCCTCAGGCCTTTAAAATCCTTTCAGGTTTATCAAAATATGTTTACATATACTTATGTAAATATGAATTATCCATGTATTTTTTAGGAGGGCCATCAAGACTGCTAGACTCTCAGACCAAACCTCCTTCAGCTGAATCTCAGAACAAACCACTTTCTCCTGAACTGGTTGAGCGGTGTGCAAAGGATTTCAAGTTCAAGTACAGGTCAACTCTCTGTAAGATCAGAGCTGATCCTCTCAAGCCTTCTTCTCTTGTGGGTTTTGAAAAACTACATACAAATCTTGTATTGGAAGAAGAGGATGGAACTGGCAAGCGAACAATTGATTACAACAATTTTCTTGATCTCAAAGTCAATGGAGAGTTCCCCAAGCGGATAATTGCTCAGGGAGAGGCAGGGGCTGGAAAAACTACATTTTGTGCTAAGATTGCCTGGGACTGGATTGAAGGGAGGCATTTCAGTCACTTTGTGTGGGTCTTGATCGTTCCTCTCCGTGAATATAAGGAATACACTATTGGGAAGATCGCTAAGGCTTATCTGGACAAAAGCAATCCAGCAACGGTTTCCCAGATAAATGAGTATATCCGGTCAAATCCTGACAAGGTATTTATCGCATTTGATGGGCTAGACGAAGTCAGTGTTAAAATCTCACAGCCAAGTTTCACCTCCTCAGAGGCATGTGGAAGATCATCTGAGACATGTGATATTGGACTTGGAGATATTCTTTGTTCAGATCAACTTGCCTCTTGCCCAGTCTTGGTGACCACTCGTCCATGGAGAGCAGTAGAGATTAGATCAGATGATGATCTAATGAAACTCTACACATTCATTCATGTTGAGGGTTTCAACAGAGAGAATTTGTCAGTTTACATTCACAAATACTTTCCAAATAATGCTGATAAAGCAAATCAGCTTATCCAGTTCACCAGTGAGAATGATGTCATATCTGAAAACATGGCCCCCTATCCTATATATGTAGCCATGTTGTGTCATATGTGGAAAGAACGTGACAAGCATAAGCTAAAGGAAATGAAATCACTGAAAACGTTTTCTCAGATATTCAAAGAAATGATCGCCTTTCTAAAAGAACACTATGCTCAGAAAGAAGTGAAGAAAGTAGGTAGCCCCTCACTCCATGCCTATTTGAAAAGAATTGATGAGCTCCTTGGACCAATTGCCAAACAGGCCCTCAATGGTCTACTAGAAAATACCTTGGTTTTCGGTGAAGATGATTTCGAAATATGCCCAGAATCCAAGGACGCTGCCTGTCGTGTCGGGATTTTGTCTCAGGAGGACAAAACTACAGCTGATATGGATACACATGAGAGGAATTCTCATGTGCAATTGCCAGTTTTCTTTCCTCACAAACTGTTTCAGGAGTACATGGCTGGAGTCCATCTTGCTTCCCTATATGAGTCAGATCGTGATGAATTCAACAGGCTGATTGATCAAGTAGTGCTGCCAAAGGAGGAGGAGTTTAGGTATCTACTGTACTTCACTGTGTCACAGAACAAAAGTATTGCAACCTATGTAATTAACTCTATGCTTCAAGGACTATCGGTAAGGGATTCAAAGATAGTTATAGATTTTATTGTTGATGTAGCTTTTGAGAGTCAGGACCCAGATGCTGCAGCCTTGGTGAAGGACAGGGTTTCATCACTGAATATTGAGGTGGCCATATCCTCATACACGACAGCACACACTGTAGCTGGTTATGCTTTCATTAGACCACTTGTGGTAAGTTTAATCATAGTTTGATAAACAAATTAGTTCATCCATTTTGGTACAAGTTCTTACTTTTATACATGTTGCACTTTTCTTACAGTACAACAGTATACTTATGGAAGGGTGCATCTCGACCAGCACATGTGCTTTTATTTTCCCCCCTTTTACCAACCAATAGTTTCTGTTCTTATATATAAATATTATTGTATGAAATGTATTACTGTATTGCTGTTGGAAAAGAAGTCAAATCAAAGAGGTTTGAACAGTAATAATTTGGAAACTAGAACTGCAATCGTAGAATGAAATGCATGCATTGATGCCCATATTTCTATTTTTTAAGCAGATGAATGATCCTATGTACACACGCTCGGCAAGGCACGTATGATTTTCTATATAATTTGGCGTATACGACCTTGTATGCTAACATACTAATATGTGACGCATATAGTGCAGGGTATGAAATGGCATCTAAAACGTCCCGCTTGACAGATTTTCAAAATGAGACAATGAGATGCCCTGAGTTTGGCCCCCAGAATATACTTGCAAAATTCCAAGATAAAAAATAAATAAGAAAGGGGACAAAATCAATCTGAAAATTGATGTTATAGCCAATGTTACAGTTGGGCAGAAACCCTGCGTAATCTGATTTGTGCCCTGTTACAATTTCGATTTACTCAAAATTTTCTGAGTGAACATAAATGTATACTGTTTATGGTATCATTTGAAGCCGCATTTCATTACAGTCATTGTGACCCCATTGTCATCCATGCTATTAGCGTGGATGACAATTAAATGTACTAGAAGCATGTCACACATTGTAATGTTATGCATAGCAAATTGAGCATTTTTTTACAATAACCTTGTAATGATCAACGTCAAGAAATGTTACCAAACTTGGCAGGCAGTTGTGAAGAAGGTTGATACACATGTCTGCTATAAAGTTTCATAGACCTAGTACGGTTTTTGAGAGCAATTTCTCGCGCAGTCGGTCAATAGTGAGGTGCATCTGTTTTCTTTCTTTTTCTTTTTTCTTTTTTTACTGAAAAAGGGATATCTTGAAGTATCTAAACCCGAATATGACATAGCTATTGCCACATAAACACATCCATTTTCAAAACTTTAGAGGGTGCTATTCATATCATAAGTAACCATTGATCTGTGAAATTCGGCCGAAACGTGGGCAATGCAAAGATAAAGATGCTGTAAAAAATTTGGACCGAATGGAATTGATATGTCAAAGTTATGGCAATTTGTCTTTTTCATTGGTCAATATTTAAAGAATTTCATCAATTCTTGAAAGAGTTGCTTTTGGAGTTAAATTTAGAGTATGAAGATGGCATTTTGAGGAGCCTTTTGTATGACAAAGATAAAAAAAAAAAACTTTTGCACTATCTAGAGTAACTTGTTAGAAGTCTGTAGCATCTAGGATAGTGGAGGTAGGTAGGCCAAAAGAAAGGTATATGAAAACAGAGATGGGTAAATGCTGCCCTCTTACTCTCTGTAGTACGTTCTAGCAGCATATCTAGGGCAACCTCTCATGTAGGTAACACATCTATGTCTAACATCCAAGTGAACATCTATATTCTGCATTAAACCAGTAATCACTTTTTCATTTTATCCAGGTTGAACTCGGTAGAGAGAGAGATTGTGGACCTACCATGTCACTTGATGTGGCAGACATAATATCATGCTCCATGCCATCCTTGAAGAAAGCTTCTCTATCAGGTGCATTCCATCAGTGTTTTTTTGAAACACTTGCAAGGAAAGAAAGAGAATCAAAGGTGAGCAGTTCATCCACAATTGTGATGCATGTATGAGTGACTAATTTAATTTCATCCCATTACCCCCTCTTCCCTTTTCTAATCTACATTTTACTTTTCTTTAATTCTTTTAAATGTCTCATATATGCTGGCTCTTTTGACAGAAGGATCAATGGTCTTTTCACACTTTTCACAGGCGGCAGCAGTGTTAACAAAAGCATTTAAGTGTGAATGCTAACCGTGGAAACCTTGAGGGTGGGCGGGGAGCACCATGTAAACAGTCGTATGCTTGTACAACCTGAAGATCGCAACATGTAGGAAGATCCCAACATACTTAAAGGGGAAGTCAACCCTGATATTAAGTTTGTTTTAATAAAAGCAGAAAAATAAGAGAAACAAATAAATGAAAGTTTGAGCAATATCTGATTAAAGATACAAAAGTTGTTACAAGGAAGTTTTGAAGCAAGAATTAAAGAAATTATTTATCGAATGATTATTTCTAGAAGTGGAATGGACTAAGTGCACCCTTGTAAAAAAGTACCATGGCAACCATGGTTCTTTGTCCAAATTACCATCCACCATTCGAACCATGGTAAACATGGTATCAAACAATGAAATTACCATAGTTTGATACCATGTTATTAAGTTTGTTTTAATAAAAGCAGAAAAATAAGAGAAACAAAAATAATTGAAAGTTTGAGCAATATCTGATTAACGATACAAAAGTTGTTACAAGGAAGTTTTGAAGCAAGAATTAAAAGAATTATTTATCGAATGAAGTGGAGTGGACTAAGTGCCCTTATAAAAAAGTACCATGGCAACCATGATTCTTTGTCCAAATTACCATCCACCATTCGAACAATGGTATCAAACAATGAAATTACCTTGGTTCGAATGGTGGATGGTGATTTTTTTAATTTTTTTAAATATATATAATAGCTTTAAACAGAGCGAATTTATTTTCCATTTCTTTTTCACATAATATAAACAATAACAAACAATAATAAACGTAATGGTATAACAGAAATAAGCATTGAAATATATTTGACATTGTTTTTTAGTCATTGTAATGCAAAATGATTTAATTACAAGAATTGAAAAAAACGAACCTACTTGAAAGCAAAGCTTGTTAGATGTAGGTTCGCACAATAATAATTATACTTTATACATTTGTAACTTAATTTAAAAAAAATTACGGAATCAAAAAAACATGACAGACAATAGAAAAACAAACAATTAACGAGACAAAAACAAATCAGAAACATTAGCAGAATGACAAGATGATGATGATAAATGAAGACTATAGGAATGAGAGAGTAAAAAACAGAAAAGGGGGAAGACATGCAGGAAGATAAAAAAGAAGACAGAGAGAGGGGGTTGAGGGAGACAGAGAAAGAGACAGAGAGGAAGAGGGGAACTACTTATTCTGATTCGTTTGCAACAAAAAGTGCTTGACGGCATTTTTGAAACCACTTAATAAGGGCTTTTCTTGTAATGTGCCAGGAAGGGCATTCCAATATTTTGGGCCAATGAAAGTGAAAATCCTGCTGGAAAATTGCATTCTTGTCTTTGGTAGGTGATAACATTTTGCTTTTCTCGTGGGGTAACTATAAAATTCAGTATTTTTGTTCAACATATTTGAGAGAACTTGTGGCTATTCATTTTTTCTAGTGTATACATAAATATACCCAAGTTGTAGAAAAATAAGTCATGAATCTTCAAAACATTATTTGCGTGAGAGAGTTCATTAGTATGAGCGTGAAAATTAGTGTGACAAATGATTCGCATTGCTTTCTTTTTCAATAGTAAAATTCTATTTAATTGAGTATTTCCACAGGTGCCCCACGCAAGTATTCCATAATTCAAGTAAGGAAGTACTAAAGTTGAGTATAAATTAAGCAGTATACGAGATGGAAAAGACAATTTTACCTTGTTCAAAATACCAATATTTCTAGAGATGATTTTACAAACATCAACATGCAGCTTCCATTTACGTTTATCATCTACTATTATTCCCAGGAACTTCGTAGAAGAGACTTTTTGTATGACAGTATTATCAAGTACAATATTTTCTGGTAAATTATCAATAATATTACTAAAAAGCATATAATTGGTTTTTATTAAATTCAATGACAATTTATTTGCCTTGATCCAGTTAACTTCTCGTAATTGAGAGTTAACCGTTCTCAGTAAAATTTCTGGGTCTTTGTGAGAAAAGAAAATGTTAGAGTCGTCAGCAAACAAGAGAAAAGACAGGGTTGTTGAAGACATGTAAAAATCATTTATATAAACAATAAAAAGTAACGGATCTAAAATAGAACCTTGAGGCACGCCACATTCAATAGTCTTTATAGAAGAATGTGCATCGTATATGAGAACGTATTGGTTTCTATTGTGGAGGTAGTTCTTTAACCACTCTAAGGGTAATCCTCTGATTCCGTAGTTAGAAAGTTTGTAAAGAAGTATTTCGTGATTAATCGTATCAAACGCCTTAGAGAAGTCCAAGAAAGCCCCCACCGTATGTTCGAAATTGTCAATAGAGCGAGCCATCTTATTTATTAGAGTCAAAAGGGCATGTGTTGTACTATGCTTTTCACGGAAGCCAAACTGTGCCTGATAGAAAATATTACTAGCACAAAAGAATTTTACAGTACGAAAAAAAATACAATTTTTTCAAGAAATTTAGATACGGATGTCAGCAAGGAAATAGGCCTGTAGTTTCTTAACTCTAAAGGATCTCCTTTCTTGAAGACAGGAACAACTTTTGCCAATTTCATCGATTGAGGCACCACCCCAGTTGTAGGCGATAGATTGAAAATATAAATTAAAGGTTGGACAATATCAAGGGTTATTTTTTTCAGGAGATAATTGCTTATTTCATCATGTCCAGAACTCCGCTTATTTTTCAATCCGTTAATTATGTTTATAATTTCACTTTCAAGAACTGGTGTGAAATATATAAAAAGTGAATTTGGGGTTCCAAGAAAGTCGGTGAAATGCTTATTTGAGTCTGGTATTTTTTGAGCAAGGTTGAGACCAATATTTGAAAAATAATCATTAAAATATTACGGGATTAGTTCGGTATTATCAATAACTTCATTATTAACTTTAATCTTTTTAATTGTGGAATACTTGCTTTTCCCGTGTATAACACTTTTGATAACCTTCCAAGTATTTTTTAGGTCATTTGTATACAGTTCAAACTGCTTACAAAAATATTTTTGTTTAGCTTTCCTCAAGGTAGTAACCAATATGTTCTTATATTCCGTATATTTTACCTTATCTTTATCCAATAGCTTAAATTTATACTTTAAATATAAATTGTTTTTTTCGATTTATGGAACGTAAAAGAGCTTTCGTTACCCAGGGATTCCTAGGAGTCTTTTTGTAACTACGTTTTTTATTACTAGCTGGAAAACAAGTATCAAAAGCATCTTTTAAAAGATCCATAAAAGTGTCTAAAGATTGATTAACATTATCAATTTGATATATCACCGACCAGTCAGTAGTTCCGAGTATTTGTCCAAACCTAACAATATTTTCTTCAGAAAAATCACGTTTTTTAACTTCGACATTGGGATGCATCAGCAAATTTTTTTCAATTGGAAATTGAGTAAAAATGGGGAAATGGTCTGAGATTTCAGACAAGATTATACCTGATTTTGGAGAAAAAAATTAGCATTATTTTGTTAAAATATTATCAATAAGAGTAGCAGTGTTTTCTGTAACCCTCGTTGGCTTAGTTATAAGTGGTAGTAAACTAGCTGTAAGGAGGGTGTCGACAAAATTTTGGACAAATGTATCAGTGGCGTTGTTCAATAAATTC